TCCCCTCCCTCCTCCTCTCTCTCTCTCTCTCTCTCTCTCTCTCTCTGTGGATCTTACCAGAAGCTCATTTTCAGTATGAAGAATTGAAAATGAGAGAGAGATGGAGAAGTGACTGGATCTGGCCCCCATCTACAGAGAAAGAGAGAGAGAGAGATGAAGTCGGGCTTGATCTGGCCCAAGCAGAGAGAGAGAGAGCCCAGTTGCCTCCCTTCAGGATGTTTTTATTTTTTTCGTGTACCCCGAGTTGTACACACAACTCTGTGTAACTCGGAGTTAATTGCCCAAGTCTCGGACTCAGGCGAGTCCCAGTATACTGGTCCACCAATGTGTGCTAAGCTTATCACTACATTGTTAAATAGATAATCTGCCCATAAATTATAAATCAATGACACCAATCGGTAATGCTTTGGCATAAATCCTACACCAAGTCTTCCTTCCCCTTCCCCTTCCTATCTCCGATGAAGACAAGATCATATGGGAGCCATCCCCCTAAGGAATCTTTTCGGTATCCTCTTTCTTTAAAACCCTCTCTTGTAACCCCATTGCTGCTGGCCCTAATGTTCCAATACCTGTAGTAGGACATTCCACGTATCCAATAAGATATTAATAGCTTCTGAAGCCCATGTTTCCTCCTCGTCTTTGTTAGCAGCATGTGCCTTCATGACTTCACAAGTCAATAAAGATAACAGACTTAGAGTGCCAAAAGGCCTGCAATAGCAATAACAGTTCACTTCAGGAGAAAACAAAGGTTTATAACCCAGAATATCATACAAGATGTTATGCCGTGATCTGGCTCGACTAAAATATGGCATACAATGTTATAAAAGAAGATTCACATAAAATAACAAAATAGAAATAAACAAATACAAAAACCCACTAACCTTAAAGACTTTAGAAGCCTATCAAACAATGAAGGTGTTGTTAGACTGGCCATGGCAAGTAATCCACGACAACCATCGAGCATCTCACTGAATCGAATAAAAGAAACCAAGAGAACCCATTAATTGAAAATAAGTGGGAGAAAGACCTATAAGGCAAAAACTTATTTACAAAGATGACCTTTCACTTTTTCCATATGTGATAGCATTCAAAATAGTGTCAGGTGGATCGATCCACTGAATGATTCCCGCAAGTAGTAACAACATATGCTGCTCTTGCATCTGCCCATCATCTACAATTTTTTAAGTAAAAATGGTAAGATATACTAAACTCATAATTCCCAAATGGGAACTTTATTATTTTATAATTAGTATATAACCGGCATTATCGATAGCAATAGATGAAAAGGCTATCGATATGTGATCATTTATGCTACAAATCATGCACCATATTCTCCAATGCACAGTTCCAAAAACGAAAATGAACTTTGATATTGTACAGATGATGGACATGGAAAGTGCACAAGGAAACAGAGAGACAACTGAGCCAAAGTACAAAATATAAAGAAGAATTTAACAAATGAAAATATGATGGCATCAAGCTTTCAAAAGTTACAGTATACTTGGAACCCAAAGAAATCATGAATGATGTGGGGGTACAACTACAGAAACAAAAACAATAAGCAAAAGTCCAGAAGCTTCTAGCAGGATAGATTGAAGGCTGATTCACAGTACTCCAGTAAGTATTTTGTTATCAATGAAGCAGGCCAAGTCTACAATTAAATCAGTTCGCTTGTCATGGTTCAGACTTAGTTCTGAATAATTTTTGGGTCTATATGATCAGATATTGATGACGGAGCCATTTGGTGAAAAACCAAAACCAGGAGCTTGCATCAACAGCACCATTAGATACGGTGTCAATATAGCAAGGCTAACACTTATGCTGAACTCCACAATACTGGATAAACTTTTTGAGGTTCTAGCCCTTACGTAACATTAACTTGGTAATATCAGAAGTACAATACTTCATGAGCAAAAATTCCACCATACAAAAGAAATCAATTAGGGAATGAAGAGGGCACATGCAAGTGACAAACATGATACCTGAAGGAAATATGGTCCCAGTCAATGAGCAGAACTGTACAATCAGTTGTCGAGCTGAAACGGCGAGAGGAGAATCAATCCAACTTCGGTCAGATGATGACTTCTGGCCAATTGTCCTATACAGCTCCAAAACCCAACCAATACGACCATGTGAGAGCAAGACATCACGCCATGCAGGCCCTGGCTATAAGCAGCATAGGAAGAGAGAAAAGAACACCCCGTGGATACAAAGAGAAAGCAACAAAATAAGATTCAAAGTGCCTACAAGCATCGGCGTAAAATACTATAATCCATGGGTATCGTATACCTCATCAATACTATAGTCCAATAGAGTATGGTATACCTTATTCCAAGTGGCATCCAATGCCTGCTCCCTCCAATGAATAGTGAAGACTAACAATAGAGGGGCCCACAGGAACATTCACCTCGATAAAGTTAATCATTCTGTTCATCATTGGAATGGACGGTGGATGTCCCTATGGAGTACTAGTCCGTTTGAGTATGGTATTCAACAAGCATTTACCTGTACAAGGACCAGCTCAGATTTCTTAAACAAAGCTGCTTCATGCCCAAAGCCAGAAAAAGAAGCATCTCTTCTATTCTTCACACCTCCCACATCAGCAGTAATTGTCTTCTTAAATTCCCAATTCAATATTTGAGACATAAGACGCATGGCTGCAGCACAAACTTTAACTTCAGGCCCAGTTGAATCACAATATCCAATTTCATTGGCAACACTCAGCACAGCGTCTTGTGCCCAACAATAGAAATCCTGGTATATGGGAAAAACAACATTTTATATAACAAGTTTTATGTTTTGTAAATGGGAAGGTATGTTATAATCCAAACAGAAACATATTGCATATGGTCATCACCATCCGTTAGCATAGATGTGATTTTATTTTGATATAGATGGTGATGGAGAGAGAGTGGGGCCCACCTATTGTCTCTCCATAAGTATCCATCATTTTAATGGACAGATGATCAATGGACTATGGTTCTTCTCATGATCCACTGGATTATAATATAAAATCTCTTTATAAATAAAGAAGGTTTTGAGTCCCCTTGTAAAGTGTGATCCAGCATATAACCAATACCATTGTAACAGTACAAACCTTCAAATGTTTTGTTTCTAATGATGCCCGGCATTTCTCATGAAATTCCACAGGAAGGCCCATGCCAGTAGCAGTAGAGGGTGAAAATTCTGAAACCTGAAATATAACGTTATCACCTAAGAAAATTCTGATCCCCATGGTGGGTATGATTGTATTAGGAATTGACTCAAGGCATAGGTGGTCATAGTGGTGGGTGCCACAACATGATGCCTTGAGTTCCCCTCCTACCAAGCATAGGAGACCACTTCCCTGCTGATTCTGCCCAAAAAATAATAATAATAATATATTGCACAGTACAACATAGTGAATATCTATGAAACAAAGATAAGAGATACCAGTGATTCCAGGAAGTTGATCCCCACAAATTGGGCATGTCTACCATGAGCACCAACAACAGATTGCCTCACCTGCAGTTGTGAGTGATTAACTGGGGAATGGCAGACAACTAATGCAATCATTAGAACTAACTTGTTTGTAATTCTCGATGCATGTTTCCTAAATGTCAAATATTATCATCATCATCCAAGCCTTATCCCAATTATTTGGGGTCGGCTACATGAATATAAAATACAAAATATAAAAGCAACTAGTCTGAACCAAGTGAAATTATTTACAGAGGACATTCCAAATTCAGTAAATTTATCCTTTGTAAGAGTGGGTAAGTCTGTGACTAAACTACTTTGAAGTTATTATTCTATCAAATGAAAACCAGATTTTCTAGGATTAGGCATATGTTAGTTTTTACGCATATCATATTTAGAATGAGGTATGCCCCATCCAAATGCAAAGATATCAAATACTAATTTTCATGACTATAATCCTGATGATGCTAAAAGCAACATTCTTAGGCCTATTCTTTACAGGCATTCTTGGAAATTTTGTTTGATTCTTTTCATGAAAACGTTGGACAACCAGTTGGACCATTTTCATCAGAACTCAACATATGGTCTGATCCTCACAACTCCGATCTTTCTGATGGAGCAACAGTACAGGATTTATTTGTGCTAAGATTTGAAGTTAGCCAATAAGAAAATTCCTTTTGTATGATCACAAGCAAACATTGTTAGGTACCTGAATGAAAAACGCATCCTTCTCAGCAGCAGTTGATTCTAGCCTGCATAAAGAACACACATCTTTAGTCTGCATACAATAACAAGAATGATATTTTTGAGAAGAGAAATACTTAGATATCCACTAAATATCATAAACTATCTGCTTATACAAGATAATAAAAAAGTGAGGTTTGCATATAAAACTCACAAAGCTTACCAGCAGAATAACTTTGTATTATAGAAAGCAATGAAAAAAGATGAAAAGAAGCAAAACAAGGACATTACTTGGGCAGTTTTGTTGAACATCGTGATGTAAAAATCGACATGAAGATGATGAGTGTCAACTCAGATCTGTCTTTTATTTAAAAGCCTGATTTTCTATAGGACAACCATATGTGCAAAAACAATTTTGATTAATGAATACAATTTCAAAAGAAAGAAAGATGTCACCTCTGTGATAGATTTTTCTACTACAGATTCTACACAAGACCACAAGTATAGAGAGAGAGAGGGAGAGAGAGAGAGAGAGAAGCTACCAGCCTCTCTTCATCAACAGTGCTCCAACAGCGGAAAGCTTTGTTTGAACATACGCTTCAGATGCATGTGCATGTTCCATAACAAAGGATAAGCAAAAACTGTAATACAGAAAAGGTGCAGTCACTTTCAATTAGATGGAAAACTTTCATTAAAACTGCATAAGACAGCATTAGACAGGTACAGAAGTGTCAAATCAGATACATCTGAGAACATTGGACATTAATCGTCCATTAAGAAAACTATGAAGCATGTTGTACCGCACAGAATTTATGGCAAAAAAATTGATGTATCTTTCAGAATATATCTGAAAAAATTGGACATTAATCCTCCATCAAGAATACTATGAAGCATGTCACACTGCACAGAATTTATAGTAAAAAAATTGATGTGACTTTCAGAATATATCTGAAAAAATTGGATATTAATTCTTCCATTAAGAATATATGAAGCATGTCACATTGCACAGAATTAATGGCACAAAGATAGATGTGAATTTTGTGCATTGGTACCTTATCAAGCTCTGCTTCTCCTCATCTGGAAGAAACCCCCATTCCCTTACTGCTGCATCTTGAATTGTAGCAGCAGCCTGAAACCTTGCATTTGCTAGATGAGAATTCTCTGTTCAACATGTTTGACCACAATCACTAGTCCATAATGTAGTAGGACTAACCACAAGCAATATTTGCATTCTAACTTCTAAGAGAACAATGGTGTGTATGCTACAAGAAATATATGGTTTTTACAGTTGACAACAGCATACACCACGGGGTTAACTTCGAGAAGGAAGAGGACAAGGTTTTAGTCCAACTAGATAACCAAAAGTACTGGAGCAAGCAACCTTCCAGTTCCTCTGCAACTAGGGAGACTCGGGTTGAGGCAAGCCAAAAGCATGGAAAGCATGAACCTTAGGTTTCATAAGTCAAGATGATAACATGATATAAGATGCCACAAAAGACTGGATTAAAGAGAGGCCAAAGACCAAATTAGGCATCAATTAAACAAATAAGGACCGAGGGAGGGAGGGTGATGAGGAGTTGGAGAGACAGGACAACCATGTAAACAACAATGAGAGAATATGACCCAAATTGCAGCACTAGTAGGTCTGTCATAGATGTCATAGATTGAGTGGTTATTCCAAATGATCCAAACACTAGTAGGTTTATTATAGATGTAATAGATTGAGTGTTTATTCTAAGAGATGATGGACACCAGTACTAGCATCAAGTAGATTATGCATGAAAACAAAATTTTATAATGCATAGTTAACTTATTCAGCTATTTACATGCTTACTGAATATTTAACCATGCATAAAGTTATGAATGCTATTGGATTGAGTTTTCTAAAACAATAAATCCATCAATGCAAGTGTATAACAGATTTTTTTACTTGATTGAAGTGATCATCTAGATGTATAAAAGTTTGAGATATTGAGTGATGTAATTTCACTAGGGTTCCTTTAGGCAGAGTAAATGAACATACACTTTTCTTTTCTTTTCTTTTCTTTTCTTTTGCTCCTTCTTTTTCTTCTTTTTTTTGTTGGGGGTTAGGGTTTTTTTCATTTTTTTTATTTTTTCTTTTTCCGTGGGGGGAGAGATTCCATTCCATTCATTCTTTTGGTCCTACTTTAGAAAAGCCCATCAAGGTACACATCATAAATTAATGCAGGAACAATTTCCAACCTATTGCCCCTCCATCAAAAGCAAAAGTGGTCTAGAAAAAACCCACCTATGTGAGATAGTGGTATTTTTTAACACCCAATATTTGATATCATCAACAACAAACACCTCAAAATATTAGCTATTCAACAATGTAAGATAAAGAGGCTCCTCTGTAGAACTTGAGCACTGGGCAAGCCTAGTGGCTCGCGAGGGTCCAAGTCGACTTGACTGAGTCCGTGTTGAAAAATAGAAATATAGAAAACTAGTTAAAGATTACTTTGGATTATTTTTTCAGATGAGAAAAATAATAAAAATTAAAACATAAAAGGCATATACAAAGTTAAATATAAATCAATCATAATGATTTAGTAAGTGATTAAATCAATTCTAAATCCATTATAATCTAATCATAATGATTTAGTAAGTGATTAACTCAATTATAATCTAATCATATTGATTTAGTAAGCGATTAAATCAATTCTAAATCAATTATAAGATTATAATAAATTAAAAATACCCCTTTAATTGGGGGATGTTATGGGCTGTGCAGGCGAGTCCGAGTTGACTCGCTCGAGTCAACAAACATTCTGGTATTCAAAAGGACCAATTTCATAGGTGACTTAGTAAGGTAATGATGTTATAAAACACCAATATCTCATAAGGTAACTTATTTGGTGGGATATTGATGTTAAAAAAAGACTAAAATCTCACAGGGCATTTAGAGAGAGACATTGGCATTTGGAAACATTAATTATCTTGTAAAAATTTAACATCCATGAGGCATTGGTACTTAAAAATACCAATGTCTCATAAGGTGGCTTAGTGAGATATTGGAGATCAAAATACCAAATCTCGCATGATAACTTAGTAAGATTCCGGTGTTGAAAATACCAATAAATAAGAGGTTGTCGAGAGTGTAATATTCGTATTCAAAAATACCAATTTCTCACTAAGGTGGTATTCCTAAAAACTACTTCCTTTTTAATGGAGGGGCAAATCGGACACTGCCTCTCCAACCATTTTGAACACATTATTGACCCATTACAACATTTTCCTTTAAGGGGCGTTTAGAAATTAGGAAAACACAATTGACGCAATGTCAAATAGTGCATCTCTTGATGACGGTTTGATCAATCTCCCTTTTCTTTCTGATAAATATATAACAATACACAATTATTACAATTTGCACACTAACATACCAAGAATGTATCGACAAGTCTGGTATGGCCGAGAAGATTGACGAAAAGCTAAGATCGTAGCTTCTGCCTCAGCTGGATTCATATGCATCTGCTCAATTGAAAATATACATAAACAAGATCAACATATCTACTAGCAAATAACATTAGATAAAATAATTACAAGGCCTTCAATAATACTTTGACTTGTCTACTATACAAATGAAATATGTAATTTCTCACAAGTAAAAAAATGAACGCTGAACTCATTTCTTTGTTATAATTCCTAAAGAGCACAGAAAAACAAGATGTATAATGGTAATTTAGTCCCTCTGTCACAAAAGGAAATCCTGAATACAAGCGCCAATTTCAGCTAGAGGCCCAGAGGCAGCTAAGTTATACAAGAATAATTCCCAAGGACCCATTTGTCTCAGAAAGTCCCATGCTTCCGAGTATGACACTCTTGCCACTGGTCTAAGGTACTTGACTCCGAAGTTGCAATGATTAACCAGGATACTCCATACGTATCAAACAATAGCACTCTGGATATCTCACGAGATTCATACAATACCTAAGCAATTCATAAAATATTTTCCAGGATAACTAAACATACAATACTTAAGGGAATCAACAAGTGTTGTGTCTACTAAAATAATCAATCAACAACCTTGAACCTTTTCAAGCATATGAACAAAGGGTTAAAAGCTAATGTTTTTACAATGATAAAACTAACAGTTTAGAAAATTAAAATAGTTAATAAAAATAGATTGCACCAAACGTATTAATTGGAATTCTTGTCGGTAGGTTTGCAGGAAAAAATCAATATCATTTCTTTAATCTAGTTACCTTTTTTGCTGATCAGAATGCTAGTGTGAGAAGCACAACCATAGAGACATTATGCATGGAAAGCAGACATTTATAAGCACAAAATTCCTTACTTCCTTAAGTTGAGAACAACCCAACAAGAAGTTAACCTTTTCATTTTAAAAAAAAAAAACGGCACAAACCAACAAGTAATTTATTTCTTTTTAAAGCCGAAAATCCAACTTTCAGTTTCATAAAAAATCCATGCTTTTGGCAAATTGCACGAGGAAGCATGTTTTGACTGCTAGAAAAGTGCCAAAGTCGACACCAAGAGATGCTAAACTTCGCAAATCTGAAACCACAAATGCCACATTTGCCAATGGGCTTTTATTGCAAACGTCTTCAGATTGGAAAAGGCAGACCATTTCTTGTGCTACTCCAATCCAAAAAAAACTATATTTTAAACCACTGAAACATTTTCACGAACATGATGAGCACTCAAAAATATATAAAATATAATAGATTGTGAGGTTAAAGACAATAAGATGGATATGAGTATTTCTCTAACTACGGCCAATGCTCAGTGTAGAATCCATATACCACGCCACATTCAACACTACGCAGAGAACATGTAATATAATGACTCAATGGCAATCAGAATATTGATAAAAAAAAATTGCACAAACCACATTTAAGATATCAAGATACAACCAGACCCACAACGTACACAAACATAAAGTAAAAACTTTATATCGATGAGGCATCTAGGTCATTGCGATAAGAATTCTTTCTAGCCACTGTGTAAAAGCATGTTAAAACATGGCATAGGTCCATCTTTCATCTCATCAGATTTAGCCATCTTCATTAAACATGGACAAAAATCCAAAACATCATAATGCAAGGCAAGAACAATTTTTTTTCTTTTTTTAAGAAAAAAGTTCATAACGGAACAATCATTACAACAACAATATCATCTAAAAGGAATTCAAATCCAAATCCCAATATGTAAACCTTCTACTCTGAGTAGTCATCAAAGTGAACAAAAATATTTCTAAACAATCAAATTCGGAGAAATCGACTGAAAACAGTACTGCGCAACATTTATAAAAGAGAAGTGAAGATATTATTTCAACAAACTAGAATGCAAAACTTAGAATTCAATTTAAATTTCCTTCTCATTCAGCATATAAAACACACCATATCTACTGGCAAATCTCACTAAAGAAACAAAAGTTATAGCACCAGTCCTCCATTGAAATTCTCTGGCAATACAAAACAGAACTCTAAACAAATCATAAAAAGAAAAAAAAATAACTCATTGATCACAAGCATGCAAGATAGTGAAATTTAAGGGAAACAAAGTAGTAAAGAGATGCAACACGGTTACCTGAATGGAGTTGCACGCTTGTTCTACAACGGCCATGGCGGATTGGACCTGAGAGAGGTCTGGGGATTCAAGGGCATAGCTCTGCATCTTCTTCTGCTACTTCTTCACCAGTGGATGGAGAGAGAGCGTGGCAAGAAGAAGGGAGAGGGGCTTTGATCGCTTTCGTCGGTGTTTGATACAATTCTGCAGTATTAAGAGGCTGAATTACATCTCACCTGCTCCGGCGGGAGCACCTCATCTGTTACTCCCGCGGATAAAACCCCATCCTGCAGTAGGTGTCACAAGATAAACTTATCACCTCCAATAGAATTTAAGGGAAACTTTCGTATAAAACCCTAATTCTTCCCATTATTTCATGTTATGCGCCTTCCGTTTTTCTTTCAAACGGCTGATAAAACCTGTAATGAAAGAGGGAGATCGCAGATAAAGGGTAAGGTGAAATCTTTAAAGGTTTTTTTTAAAGATGGGAGATAAAAAGATGAGGGGTAAAGTAAAATAATATAAAAAATTAAAATTTTATACAAAATATTATTTAAATTTAAATATTTTTTATCTCTAAACTATTTGTTTTTATATGATTATATTTAAAATTTTCTTGGATGAATAAGGTACGTTTTGAAATTAAATCAAAATATATAAGAAAGGGGGTGGTATGTATAAACTTACAACTTTAAACGATCAAAAGTAAGCGCACCTTCAAATTTTGTCATTAAATGTATTTTTTGTATCGAAAATTCTTAAGATGGATGGAGAATCTATTTTTATCTCTAGTTAAAAAATTTTAAACTCCAAAACTAGTTCAAATCAAACAGATCTACAAAAAAATCTCGAGTATAAACAGTCCAAATAATTTATTATATGATTTTTTGGAACTTAAAAATCTTTAAAACTTTTCTATGTCCATAAATCACAATGTCAAGATGAGCAATTAGATGGCTTCACAACCTCAAAATAGCATTTGTCAATGTATTTTTGATGTGCACCTTAATTCTATAATTTAAGGCATCAACCTTCTATAATTCTTTCTTATAAGCAAAGTGTTAAATTGTGATACATTTTCTAAAAAAAATAATCGTACGTTACAATGTAGTGGAAAAAAAAAAGGGGTTATATATAATGAGACCATTAACATTTGATACAATAATGTCATAATACTTAAGATATTTGATGTGAAATTTGATAGCTTGGATGTGTTACAAACTTCAAGAATTTTTTTTTTTAACTTTGAGCTGGACTAATTGCAGCTATTGAATTTTATATCCAATAGTAAAGATTAATTGTGATCATCTTGTACCAAAGGTAAATAGTCTCATTATATACTTTTTCAAACCGAAAACATTATGGATGAGAGTAATTTTTTTTATGGTCCGATGAGGAACGTCACCATCAAATAATGACTCTCATCACCATTCTATCACCGTGATCACCTGGATTATACCATACATGCTAGACAATTTATAGTTTTGGAAACAGGCTGCTCCTATTCTTGGATTGCATTTTTGCTGGTCAGATATGGGCCTGGGCCTTTTATTTATTGGAACTCTCTCTTTTGCTTCCGTTTGAGCTTGTTTCTATTGTTAATCTTCTTCATGTTCCTTGCTTACTTTCTAAAGGCATTTATATTTGGAAAATCTTTAGAAGTGCAATAGTTTGGTAGATATGGTTTGAGCGGAATAGAAGAACTTTTGATTGGTTTTTTTTGGATATTGCAAGCATCAAAGATAGAATTTTGCGGAGTCTTTGGGGCTCAGTCACATGTGAAAAGTGTAGAGTAACAAAGGACAAATATTTTTATCAATTTAAAATCCCTTGCCTTTTCCTACGCGCCAAGACATCTTATCACCTCTTGTTGGATGCCACCTCCAATGGGCTCTTTCAAATTAAAATTTGATGGCAGTTCATAGGAGAACCCAGGTCCAACTGGGGTCGAAGGTGTTCTTAGAGATCATGGAAGGGCAATTGTTTTTTTTTTATGGAGCGCCTTGTGGTTCCACTACAGCTAACCTAGCGGAAATAGTCTCTGTTCTTCAAGAAATGGAATTTCTAGTTAGTAAGCTTTTTTCGGGATCTGTTCTGATTAAAAGAAATTCTCTTAATGTCATAAAATGGTGCAGATTTGATCAAAAAATCCCTTGATATCTTCATGGTCTTAGGTAAAAATTATAGACATTTGTTCTTCACCTTAGCTCCATGTTTCATTCTCCCAAGTTTATCGAGAAGCCAATGACCGTAGATAAATTAGCCAAGTATGGTTTATCCTTGCCTTCTTTGTCTTCTTTTAATGCTTTAATTCCGGTTATGTAAGAGATGCTCTCCAAGTAGCCATTCAATAAAAGTCCTTGATATTTGTCAAAAAATTTATAGTTTTGGAAAAGGAAAAGTCCTTCGTGCATCACCAGGTGCAAGAGTCCGTCCATTTGTTTAACTATTCCAGATTTGTTCTTGAGGAGTTCTCAATCATTGACAAATGTGAGTGAGGTTGGAGTTGCTGACGGTCGGCCAGTTGTTTGCATTTAAAATGTATTTATAGCCCTCTACCTCATTGTGCAGTTCATCAATACATTGAATTATTAAATTTGTTGGAGCAGACTCATATCACAAACCAGGCAAGTTATGAAGCTGCATGGGAATTAGAATTCAGTATTCTCGGTTAAGTCTGCTTACCTTCCATGATCGAGTCAGATGAAATTTGCCAGTCTTAAAAAACATTTGGAAATGGAGGATACCTAGTAAAGTTCAAGCTTTTATTTGGATTTTAGCGCGAAGAAAGATGTTAATTGTTGACGATCTCAAGAAAAGGGAAAAAATAGTTGTCAACGTATGTCGCTTCTGCAATAATGATGAGGAAAATAGTGATCACCTATTTCTTCATTGTCCTTATGCGAATGGTTTATGGAGTTGGGCACTGCAAAAGGTAGACGCATCCTTTGTCATCCATGTTTGATTTTATGTTTTGTGCCCGAAATGAAGTTGTGTGGTACCCCAAAGGCTGGTTCTATTTTGTGGGATATATTTCGTGCAGCAATCATTTGGGAGCTTTGGAAAGAAAGGAATAGACGAACTTTTGATAAGGTGGCTATAGAAGTGCAAGATCTAAAAAACATAATTTTGTTCAATGTATGAAGTTGGTTTGGTATCACTAAGGAGGGGTGGGGTGTTACTAGAGTGGACATACATCATAACTTCGCACATTTGGTTACTTTACGGTTTTACTAAAGTAAGACCAATGAGTGTATGGGTTGCGAGTTAGGGGATCTTTCAAACTCAATTTTGATGGATCCTCTTCCGGAAATCCTAGTAGGGTAGGAGGGGGAAGTGTTTGTCATCATGATGGAGGAAATGTGGTTTTTTGTTATGCTACTATTTGTGGTGAGGTTACTGCTAATCATGGCAGCATCACTTCAAGGATTAATCATTTGGAAGTATAAAAGTTTAGGAAGTTCTTTGGTTATAGAAGGAGACTCTTTTAATGTTATCCATTGGTATAATGGATCTCTTTGGCTGCAAGTTTTGGATTTATTATCGGCAGGGATTTTTTTTACATACACACCCACTAATCGTTATTCACTATTCACTACTTAATATTTATAATATAATACATATTAGATAATATTTTATCTATATATAAAATAATGGGTGTGTTTTGTAGAAGGCTGAGGCTCTAAACAACCAAAACAAGGCGCACTTTTAAATAGTGCTGAAATATGTTGTTTTAAAATTAAAAATCTTTATGATGGCTTGGAAAATTATTTTCATCTCTAATAATAAAATTTGAAAGTTAAAATAGTATAGATCGAGCAGATCTATGAACATTTGAAATCTTGATAATTAATAGTCTAGATAATTCATTACAAACTGGAATATTTTCAATATTTGAAAACATTTATTTCTCATATCCATACATCATGATGTTGTGATGATCGAATTGAGGGTTTTTCAGCATTGAAACAACATTTTCTAATGAATTTTTTAGATGCGTCTTAATTTGATTGTTTAGAGCCTTACGCCTATATAATTTTTTTCCTCAAATAATACGACTAATGTTATATATTAAATATATCAATAATATTTTATATTAAACAATATATTAGTTTATATTATACTATATGATATAATACAATATACTATATATTATTATACAAAGAAAACACTACAAAACGCATACAGGTGAAGTTCTACAGTACTTCACCACGATTTTATCACCGTTCAAAGTTTATCACGTGGGCACAAATGTCTGATGGTGTTTGAATTTTAATATTTTTTTTACAAATTATAATAATATAAAATTTGGTAAGTGTGTGCGCCTTAGTGATATGTGCATGAATAAAGTATAAAACAAATAATTAGAATGATAAAAGTTACTTAAAATACCTCTACAATTTTTTAGGGGTAATTTTGTCATTTTATTTTATACCTATTATTTTTTTAATATTTTATTTTGGCGAAACTTGGTCATATGTACACACTTCCCAAATTTTAGATAAATCTGATTAGTACAAAAATTATAAAAATTCAAATACTACCGAAAACTATGATCGTGTGATGAATTTTGTACAATAATGAGGTGTAGGTGAAGTACCATAGAACTTCATATAATATATATGATTATATAATATATAATGTTAGTATATAGTATAACATTACATATATTAGTTTATATATTATCTTACATATTATATATTATAATATATATTATTGCCCTTGCATCGCTATCCCAATAGGAACTATATGATCTCGTAGTAGTGCACTTACTTCGTTGGGCATCAAACGATGTAGAGCTCCAAAGGATTAGTGTTATATAAGGGAGTCAATGTATCTATAGTAGTAATGTTGTGATATTCTATACTATATATTTTAGTTAAATGAGGTTAAATGTAACACACCTTTTAAGATAATGCCAAAAAATGATGTCTTTGAAAATAGTGTCAAATCTAAACCGTCCAAATAAAATGGATGGTATAGATCTTATAGGGTTGCAACCTCATGAACTTTTACTAAATGCTAAACTTTCAAATCGACTTTATTTATTACTCAAACCCTGTTTATAAGGGATATTTGTGTGCTAAACGTCCCAACTATTTTAATGTGATCTCCTTAAGAAAATCCATCTCAAAGATGTACTCCGAAAAAATTTGACAAAATTTTTGATATTGACATTTAAAAATAGACCGTCTTAATTATTATTTTTGGATCATTCATCATTGTTCAATTGAATTATTTGCAAACTATCGTATCAATTTCGGATCTAAAGTGAAAATGCATGTAGTGTTAAAATCCTAA